AGAACAAAACGACAGCAACTTGTCTGTTCCCCTTCCCCCAATTCCCCAGCACTGTTCCCATCCCCCAATTCCCCAATAAAAATATTTAAAAAAAATAATAAAATAAATAAATAAACAAAATATGGCATGTCAGATCCAAGTGCAGACATGAGAGATTTGCAGGCGTCGGCAAGGCCAGCAGCCTAGGACCTGATACACACTGGGGCTCAGGAGATGAAAAGGGGACAGAGTCCTTGGAGTGGGGTCCCTGGAGGAGACACTGGGGCTGCAGCACTTTCAGAGTAACAACCACCGTCAGGCCTCATGTAACAGCAGCAAACACTTCCATAGCACTTATTGCATACCAGGCACTGTTCTAGTCACTTTACATACTCGTATGTCATCTCATTTCATCCTTACAGCAGCACCGTGTATGAGGCTGGTACTGTTATTGTTCCCATTTCTCAAATGAGGAAACTGAGGTATGGAGAGGTTAGGTAACCTGCTTTATAGAGTTATACAGTAGGTGAATGAGCTGGGGTTCCAGGCTGGGTTGTCTAGCTCCAGTGTTGATAGGACAAGCCTGCTAGTGGAAGGGACAGGGCGGGCTGCCAAGCCTCAGGACCAGGTAGGGTCTGACCTTTCCATGGACATGAAATGGAGAAACGGGTTCAGCTCTGGAGAGCTCCATCCTCAGAGCCATTTTCTCTCAGTGGCCCCCCATCCCCATCCCCTCCACACACCACTCCACAAGGTTTTGTGCCCAGCCTCCTGGGCACCTTGTCACCATCCCAAAGCCACACGATCCCACCCAAAGACCACCAATAAAATGATGACTATCATAGTCCTGGACGATTTAACAAAGACAGCTACAACTCCAAAACACAGCTGGGAGCCAAGAAGGCATGTCACCAAAGGCTGAGAAGCAGAGAGAGGCAGCTGGGACTGCTGGGCCCAGGGAGCTGAACCCACAGCAGTGAAAGCCCACAGAGGGGGACCCCTCAATACTTCATAGCCTTCCTAACCTCACTTGATACCATTCAGCTTTGACCTTAGGCAAGGTGGAAATAACCAGATGAAGTTGTCCAGTGGAGAAACTAAGCCCAGAGAGGAGCAATAAATTATTTAAGATCATACCCAGGACTAGCAGTCAGATATCCAAAATTCCTTCCACTGTACTACTCAGAGCATGAGATGGAGTATGAGAAACAGACAGAGACAGAAAGAGAAGTGGGGTGCAGAGGCTGATATGGAACACCCAAGAGAAGAGAAACCCTTCCTCAGGACCAGCAGAGGAGCCCTCGGGGCAGGGCTGGATGCCTGAAAAGCCCTCCAAGCCTTCATTTCCTGGTGGCTTGATCAGTGTGGCAGCGTCCTCATTCCTTCATTCCGGATCCCAGGCGAGTGGGTTCTAAAGGGAAGAGGGGAAGGATCAAATCCCCTCATCTAGAATCAGACAGCACTTGTCAGTTTCCAACCTCAGAAATATTGAACTTTACAGCAGAAAATACCCATAAAGATGATCTTCCCATCCCCCTACTGTTACCCATTGCATAGATGGGAGATTGAGGCCCAAAGACAACAGGTGACTTTCCAGAAATCCATGGCGACTCAGTCATAGGAACCTAGGTTTCTTCACCAGGACATACTTGAAAGGGGCCATTCCTTCCCCTGCTTGAACCTTCATATAAGCTCCCTGGAAAGAGCCCTGGGGACCTGTCATTCATTCCGGGTGTGCTGTGACTCAATTGGTCACCTTAGGGAGTCCCCCTTATGAATGTAAGTTCCACAAGTGCAAGGTATTTTATCTGTTAGGCTGTGATGTATCTCTGGCCCCTAGAACAGTGTGTGGCCCATATCAAGTGCCCTGTAAATACCTGCTGCATGAATGACTGTAAGAGGGTCATGGTTAGGGTAGCATCACTTGTGAGAGCCTGAAGGCCTAAAAGAGATGACCAAGGAACAACGAGCTTTATCTTCAGACACATGAGAAGCTAAAATTCTGTCCACAAATAAATATCGAGGGTCCATTATGTGCTAGGGACGGCACTAGGCACTGGGGATTCAGGTGAGAACAAAACAGTCCCGGACTTGCGGAGCGCTCAGTCCACTATAACGTGGAACGTGTGCGGGTTTTTTGTGTGGGCTCCAGAGGGTAGACCCAGGTGTAAGGCAAACGGCTGATATAATACAGACGGCTGTTCTCAGCCTAATTGCCCTGAAATGGCCTCGCTGCTCGGAAGGTGGCCTGCAGGGTTCAAGCAGGGCGCCCGCTGCCCACGAGTCTGCGGGAGGAGAGATTTCTGCCTTGGGTGAAGTCACTTCCCACCCCCAGATTCTCTGCCTTCAAAACCCTGCAATTCTCTGATGCTAGATCTCAGCATTTTCTGAATTTTAAGGTCCCATCATGCTGACAACCTCCAGTTCTAGGTCGTCCGTCTGCACACGCCCCTGGACTCAAAAGCAATACAGCCGAATTCATCAACGGCCCCGACACCCACGGCCTCGCAAGGTCTCTGCAGGAGTTGGCGCACTCTCCCCGACTCGTGGGAGCTGGAGGGACGTAGCTCGGGCGTCCGGGGGCCGGGGACGTCGAAGGGAGGAGGGTTCCAAAAGACGAGTTCTGTTGACAGAATCCGAGACTCATGACAGTCAAAGCGTCACGTCCGGTGGCTCGGGGACTGGGACCGGGACAGTCACGTGACGCGAGGGGCGTACCATGGGGTGATGTGAGATGCAGGCCCTGTCCGATTACATACACATGACGCATTCCCACTCCCTTTTGGCTACAAGATTTCCGTTGGAAGATGCGGCAGTTCCGGTCAAGGGGGCGGGCTCTCACGTCCTGGCAGTTGTGCTTCCGTTCGGGGCTCTGCGGCTTCCGACCTCCGCCTTTCTCTTGGGTGGGGAAGAGTCGCCACCCGGTGCGCATGCCCCGAGTCAACCCAGAGTGGGTGGGGCCAAGGCTGCTGGAGCGGGAGGGGGGAAAAGAAAAGGGAATTCCAACCTGTGGTACCCGGCGGGTCCCTGGGGTCGGCTCCTTCCCATTGACTGTGGATGGTGTCAGGGACAGAGCCTCTGGTGGCTCGCGGGGGTTTGGGGGTCCGCAGGGTGAGGGAAGACAGGAGTGTCAGGGTGTGAGTGGGGTACGGGAGTTCCAAACTTAGAATCTTGAGGCCCTCGGGGCTGAGGCGCAGGGGAGAGGGAGCTCGGGCCGCCATGCGGGACAGGACCCATGAGCTGAGGCAGGTGAGATGTCGGGGCTTCAGGGGTGGGACGGGAGGACGGGCTGGGGTCTGGCTGGACTCCTGGTCTTTGGAGCAGGGAAGGGTGGCTTGAGGGCTAGGAAGACCCGGAAGCCCGTGAGTCCTGCGGGTAGAGAGCGACAGCTAGGAAGTGATGCCAATGACCCCGGCCCTGGCAGGGGGATGACAGCTCGGACGAGGAGGACAAGGAGCGGGTCGCCCTGGTGGTACACCCGGGCACGGCACGGCTGGGCAGCCCGGACGATGAGTTCTTCCAGAAGGTAAGAGGCTGGGGTCTCCGCCTCGATTCACGAGGGGGCTGGAGGACCCGAGGAGCAGCGAGGTCTGGAGTACCCCCATATCTCCTTCAGCCGTCTTGGTCACCTTTCCCAGGTCCGGACAATTCGGCAGGCTATTGTTAAGCTGGAGAATAAAGTCCGAGAGTTGGAGAAGCAGCAGGTCACCATCCTGGCCACGCCCCTTCCCGAGGAGAGTGAGTGAAAACCTGGATGAAGAACGCACGCTCAACCAGAGGGATTGTGGGGATTGTAGTTCCACGCAGGTGGTGGCCCGGGCGATGTGTTGATGTGGGGACTGCTTTCTCTTGTTCAGGCATGAAGCAGGACCTCCAGAACCTGCGCGACGAGATCAAACAGCTGGGGAGGGAGATCCGCGGGCAGCTGAAGGGTGAGCTCCTAGGACCTCAGACACATCCTTTCCTGTGGTCCTGCCCAGCTCCTGATAGATCTGGGGAGCATGTGCCCCAGAGAAGCCAGTGATATCCAGGTCACAGGAGTCTAGAATGTCCATCTCCAGGCTTTCCGTCCACAGCACTTTGCACAGCACATGCCTGCTTCTCAGGTTCCTTTACTATGAAACCGTTCACTCCAACAATTCTTGCTGCCCAGTGTGCATTCTTTGGGCAGGCAGATGAGGGTTTTGTTTAGGGGCTTCTGCCATAGCTGTGGGAATTCTCTGATGTATTGCAAAGAAAAATATACTTTCTCCTGTAAGAGGCTCAGAATTAGTCATTTAGTGATAAATTATATGTCTCAAAAAAATCTTATAGAGAGAAGCACCTCCCTATTGTGTGGCTGAGGTATGGCCCTGGCCCTGTGTCCTGATCCCCCAAACAATTCTTAGAAGCTACAGGTCAAACCCCTTCCCCACAACAACCCTGTGTCTTCCTACAGCCATCGAGCCCCAGAAGGAGGAAGCTGATGAGAATTATAATTCGGTCAACACGAGAATGAGAAAAACCCAGGTGGGTTTGTTATTCCCAGAATGAAAACATTTCAGTAAGTGTTTTATAGATTATAAGATGACAGAAGAAGGAAGGGTGCTTGGAGATCATCAAGTCCCACCTGATGATTTTCCAAATGGGGAAACTGAGGCTTGGAAAGAAAAAGGACTCAAGGTCAAGAAGCCAGGTTTCCTGATTCCCAGTCTATTTTAACACTCTGCCTTCTTCTGCTCCATTCAACGAGAAGTTGCTAATTCCCCAGAGGTGACCTGGGATCGGCTGTGGGAGACATGCTTTCTAGGAGCCAAGATAGGGAGTTAAGCTTGAATAAGTAAAAAGGACATCACTCAGGTGGGACTTCGTAGCTAGTGGCTCTGCCCAGGAAGAAGAGGGTGCAGGCATAATCAATGGGGAGGTTTCCTGCCCAGATGACAGGGATATCCTCTTCCCCATGGGCAGAATTCAGGAAGTCAGGAAGAGGAACTTCCTGGGGAGGAAGGTCACTGAATCAACATCTTTGGAAGGAGATTTGAGGTGATCTGACTGGCCCTCTCTGTGTGTCCAATGAGAAGTGGTTTGGAGTTCTTGGAGGTCAGAGTTGGAGTAGGTGGGCTCAGAGCTCAGCAAGGAGCCCAGTTTGAAGTTGGCACAATTTGGGCATCCAGAAAGGGTGCCGCCGAAGCTAGGAGGGCAATTGTGTCTCTGAGGAAGGAACTCCAGGGAATAAGGCATCAGGGACATGGATAAGGCAGGAGGGCGTTTCAAGGGGCACCCGTGGTGGTCATCAGTGTGAGAGGCGGGGGTCCAGGTGGGCCTGTAAAATCTGGGCAGCAGGCTGACCTGCATATGTACTAGCACCTGTCCAGTCTAAGCAGTGAGGCTAGTTTCCAAAGGCATTTAACAAGTAGCTGTTTGGGATCCAGCAGTGAACCAAAGATCCCTGTCCTCACAGAGCTTGTATTCCCATGAGGTGAGACAATCGTCTTCATCCATAGATACATGATTTTATAACATCATTAAGTATTAAGGGGGAAAGGTGTGAGAGAAGAGGGATTGAAAGTTCTGGGAGAAGGCAGCTTGTAATTTCAGTAAGGCAGAGAAAATGTTCAGAAGGTACCATCAGAACAAAGACTTAAGGCCTTGTGGGACCTGAGTGGTCTAGGCCAAAGGAGCTGTGAGTGCAGAGGCCTGAGGTGGGGGTGTGCTCTGTTCAGGAAAAGGAAGGAACCCGCTGTGGCTGGAGGGAGTACAGGAGGCACTGTGGGAGGAGGTGAGGTCCTAGGGAGACTGGGGGAGGGCAGGTCCAGGCCCTGCTAAAGACCTTGCAAGGTGGATAAGGCAGCAGGTCCCTAGAAAGCTCGTGCTGCTGCTGCCTCATGGGCCCTTGGGGGAGCTGAGGCCCAGGTGGGGCGGGGATCCTCCCAGGGTGCCCAGTGGCTGTTCTCCATCCTCAGCACGGGGTCCTGTCCCAGCAATTTGTGGAGCTCATTAACAAGTGCAACTCGATGCAGTCTGAGTACCGGGAGAAGAATGTGGAGCGCATTCGGAGACAGCTGAAGATCAGTGAGTCATGATGCCTGGCCCACGGGGGGTGGGCCCGACCCGGCTCTGAACCCAGCCTTTTCCTTCACAGCCAATGCTGGGATGGTGTCCGATGAGGAGCTGGAGCAGATGCTAGACAGCGGGCAGAGCGAGGTGTTTGTATCCAATGTAAGTAGCCATGCTGGCCGGCCTCCCTTGGCTGGGCCTGCCGTTCTCCCCCAGCCTTGGCCGTTTTTGACTGAGGGAACACAGGCCAGAAGGGAAAGAATCCGCATGCCTGGGGTCCCTGAGCATGGTCCTGGCCCAGCTCTAAGCCAAAGGGCTGCCCTGAAGCTCAGCAGGAACTTCTAACCTGATGCTGGTTTCCCTGTTAACCTGCCTCTCCACCCCTGTTCACTCCCCAGATACTGAAGGACACGCAGGTGACTCGACAGGCCCTAAATGAGATCTCGGCCCGGCACAGTGAGATCCAGCAGCTTGAACGCAGCATCCGTGAGCTTCACGAGATCTTCACGTTTCTGGCTACAGAGGTGGAGATGCAGGTAGGCACCCCAGGAGCCGGCTGGGCTCAACCCCGACTCCAGATATCAGACCGTTTAGCCAGAACCCCAGCTGTGACTGTCAACCCACCCCCCACCCTTAGCCTGGGTCTCTGAGGCTCCTCTTCCCCTCCAGGCTGGGCCACACCCCCAGGCAGCCCTATTTTCATCCTTAGCAGGGCCCCAGAATTGCATCTGCCTCTACAGCTAGGCAGGTGGCCACTCCTCTGTACACAGCATTCCTCGGCCACCAGCTTGAGCCCACCTCAGGTATGGCTCCAACCCTGGCTCATCCTTAACCAATAGAAGCCACCCTATTCCTCTAAGAGCTGCTGTCAGAGCTTCCCCCTAGAGGGCCTGCCTCCTAAAATCTAGACAAGTTTCGATGGGAAGTGGTGTATTCTTTCCCTGGCCCTGGTGCATGTGGTGAGGTGGCCTCCAGCCCTGTCCTGCACCAGCGGACCCACGAGTGCTGCAGCCCATGCCCTGTTGCAGCTGGGATTGGTGGGGAAGGGGTTGCATTTAGCAGGAGTTCCAGAGCCTGGAGGCTGGCAATGCCACGAGGAGGCAGAGGTAGGAAGGGCCTCACAGCTGCTGGGAGTCAGGCCTAGAATAATAGGCAAATTCAGACAATTTTGTGAGGGGACAGACATTCACCCTCTGAAAAGGTATGAGCCATTTAAGGCAGTTGGTTCCAAGCTGCCACTGCAAACAGGTTGTATGGGGCCAGGGATCAAGAGGGCAAGAGGCACCACGAGGCAGGAGGGGCCTGGAAGCCACCCTTGGAGTGTGGCTGTGTGACATGTGGTCGTGCCTCTACATCTCTGTTAAGTGCACTGTTTTCTGTCAGGGATGTCCTTTGGTCATTTGGGGTGTGGGTGATAGAGTGGACTACTGGGCCCTCCTCCCCCAGTCACCCCTGCCTGCCTGAATGGCCATATCCTCGGAGCAGGGGGAGATGATCAACCGGATTGAGAAGAACATCCTGAGCTCAGCGGACTATGTGGAACGTGGGCAGGAACACGTCAAGATAGCCCTGGAGAACCAGAAGAAGGCTCGGAAGGTGAGCGCCTGTCCCCGGCCTGGGGGCCCCCCTCCCCGCCGCATGAGTTCCCTGATCCCTTCCTCTCCCACAGAAGAAAGTGTTGATTGCCATCTGTGTGTCCATCACTGTTGTCATCCTGGCTGTCATCATTTGCGTCTCTGTATTGGTTTGATAACATCGAACCTTCTTGGTGAGATACTGTGGGCCCACCCCGTGGCCTGCCCCCTCCCCGACCCTAGACTTTCCCCTTCCTTCAGACCCTCTTCTCCTGCTTCCCTTGCAGGCACTGAGAGCAGCAGGGACCCAGGGTCTGCCTTCTCTTCCAGCAGCTGGGGCGGTGGGGGCGCAGGACAAAGCCTCTAGTCGGACCCCCTTCCTCACACTGGTCATGTGCAGAGGGACAGATGGTTCTTCTGGGGTTGGCAGCCACTTGTTCACGGGGTCTCCCCCTTGGGCCACGATGCCTGGGGAGGGGAGGATGGACTACAGTGTCCTGTTTTGCTGGGACACATGGTTTTGTAAAAAAATTAAAAAAAAGAGGTTGGAGACTCCCCTGTGTATGTGTGCTCCTGGAAGAGCTGGCCCTGGGCCTGCAGGGGTTGTTTCCCCACCTCTTGGCCATTCTTGGGGCGAGGCCCAGCCCAGGCAGGCTCACATCAGGCTGTTCTAGCACTGCCACTACAGCAGGCGTCACTGTGCTTCCACTCCCCGACAGGAATGGGTGGGGCTGGGAGAGGGTAACAGCCACATGTGGCTCAGTACTGTCCCTGGGAAAAAACCGCTGTGAGCACCTAAGGCAGAGGCTGGGCCAGGTCAGAGGGTGACACAGGTGAGATGGGGGGGAGGGGGGATGTGGAGGAACATCAGTGGGAACTCCTGAGGCCAAGAAGAGGCCCTGTAACTGAGGCTGTTATTTTGGATACAGTGGACAGGGAAGGGCCTGTCTCAGGAGGGGTGACATTTGATGTTAAATGGGGAGCCAGTTAAGGGAAGAGACAGGGAGAGGTTGCCAGGTGTGTCCCACCACGGGTCAGGCCCTGTACCCAGAAGAAGGCAGTGCCTTTTACATGAGTTCAGCCTGAAGAGCCAGCTGCGGGTCATCACTCCCAGTTCCTAAAGCGTTATGTGGCTGAGGCAGATGGAGGAGGCAGGAAGGAGCCTGGTTTCTGAGAGGCACCTGAGCCCCAGGCCCCGACTCTAAATTTCTGAGTTCCAAGTCCAGATGCCTAGTTTCTGGAGCCAGGTGTGGTGCCAGTGCCGACACCTGTTTTCAGGGCTAAGCCGCCTCCTGGTTCCGAAGCCTGGTTGGAATATGGGGCGACAGACCCCATCCCTCGTCCGGGGCGAGTTCCAGCCGCCACGCCCCATTGCACTTTTGATCCCACAGGCCCCGGCTGCCGCTGTCGGCTGCCAAGCCCGCCGGCAGGCCGCAGTACCGCTTGCTTCAGCCCCCGAGTGTGGGGCACACACGTGGGTGCAGTAGTGATGCGCGCGCAAGCTGTGGAAGGGCTGATGCAATGTCTCTGGTGCTGTCTCGCATCCCGCCCCTGGACCAGGTCTGGGGGCGGGGCCAGAGGGCGGGATTGGGCCTCAGAAGCACGTTCCCCGCCGCTCGGCACCCCCCTCCCGACTCCCCCCCACCCTCCCCCACCGGGGCTGTGCTCCCGCCTGCAGCGCTTCCCGGTGGCCCTGGAGCCAGGAGTGTATGCAGCGTGGTTGAGATGGTGACTGGATCGCAACTGGAAAACGACTGGCCCGCGGACCTAAATGTTGTTCCTGAAGAGCATCGGGATTGGTCAGTAGGGCGTCCTGGCAGACTGAGCACCCCAGGATTAAACAGCAATGAGACATAGGCCGCTGATATGAGCGGGGCTTCAGAGTCTGCAGTGGCACCCAAAATTGCCAGGCTCACAGAACTGCAAAAGAGGCAGGCGGTCATGGGCTTGTGAGAGGTGGCAGGGATAGGGATTCAGGGACTTTGTACGCGAAGGTGTGGCAGGGTCCCACTCCCTGGTCCCTGAACTTGCAGCTGCGCAGCTCTGGGAGGGTCCCCACACCTTCCTGCTGCCTGAGGTCATGTGTCCTGTGTAAGATGAAACTCCAGACACCTGCAGGAAAGAGCTCATTCTCAGCAGTGTGCACACAATCTGATGTCCACCCAATGGAGAAACTGCACACCCCCCCCCTTCCATTCTGTCCCAGCAGAAGACAGATTTGGAAACGGGTGGGGGTGTTCTGGGCTTCCCTGATGCTCGGCGACCCCACCCCCACCCCCACCCCCTGCAGCCTGCATCTTTGGCAGAATCCTGTCCTATTGGTCTTTGTCCACCCTCTCACCTTTCTGCCTTCAGGGTATAACTGCACAACCCGTGACACCTACTGAACCTGCAGGGACTATCAGACTCATACAGACTGCCGCATCTATGCAGCCAGGTTTCCATGTGCCGTGTGTGACTTTTGCCTGGCCATGCTGGACAGCACCATTCCTGAAAGGCTGCTTACCTGCCTTAGGAAGCTGTCCAGACCTGCTGAGGCCTCGGATGCCGGAGGAACCATTTCCTTGCATTTTTTAGCTTCTCGTGGATGCCTGCTGGTGCCCCTATCCTCCATTTCAAAGCACATCAGTCCAGTCTCTGCTTCTAGCATCACATCACCCTCTCCTCTGACTGACTTACCTGTCTCCCTCTTATAAGGACTCTTATGATTACCTTTCCATCCGAATACTCCAGGATAATCTCCCATCTCAGGATCCTTACCTTAATCATAGCTGCAAAATCCCTTTTTCCATAAAAGGTAACAATCTTAGGTTCCAGGGGTTAGGATGTGGGCTTATTTAGGGGGCCCTTGTTCAGCCGACCACACCACCCCATTCCACATTTAACTCATTCCTTCATTTTATTCATTCATAAAATGTTGATTGAGCGAGACTTTCAAGTACTAGGTATGATGGCAGGTGCTGAAGAAATATACGTGAAAATACAGACAAGGTCGCTGCTTTCATTGAGTTTATGGGGTTTTTTTGTTTGTTTGTTTGTTTTTTGAAGATTTTATTGGGGAATCGGGGGAGGGGAACAGACAAGTTGCTGTCCTTTTGTTCTTCAGTCTAGCTGTGGAGGATGTCACTCCACTCGCCCATGTTGGTATTATCATTGCGCTCTTCCCGGGTGAGGCAGATCGATCAATGACCATTGGGTGGCCGCTCACGGCGCCTCTTGGGGGCTCACACCAGCTGCCAGCCACTCACACTGGCTGCTGCCCACTCACAGTAGCTTATGGCAGCCCACTGCAGCAGGGGCTGCAGCCTACACCGTCGCCAGCGACTCACGGCAGCCCAGCTCCAGGTCGAGCTGTTGTTCACCATCTTAGCTTTGAGGGTGCAGCGTCACTGGCCCTCATGTGGGATCCGAACCAGGGCCCTGCTGCTCAGAGATGGCGTCCCAAACCAACTCTTAACCAACGTGCCACACTCGGCTGGCCCATGGAGTTTATGTTTTAATGGAGAACATAAGTAAAGAAATAGCTAAAATAGTCCAAACCCACGATATGTGTTATTAAAAAATTAGTGTGATATGACAAAAAATGATAAGGGATTGGAGATGGCTGTCTTAATAGGTAGTCAGGAATGGTTTCTTAGGGGAAGGTGGCTAATCCCAATGGCAAAACTGAGAGCTCAGAGGGCAGAACAGCGCCATGGAGGGTTATTTCTAGGCCTGGAAACCTAGGGGAATTCTCCGCGCTGGGTTTTAAAGTTTCTTTGGATCAGTGACTCCTTTTTACTTTACATTTCTCCCCATTTTGAACCAGAATGTCTATAATTCTATGCCTGTCCCACCATTGCATGTTGGGAGTACATGACATATTCCTTGAGTTTCACAGGTCCACAAATGGAAGAATTGTGACCCAGGGTAGATGCTGCCCTGACCTTCATCTGAATCTAACTTAGGTAATGAGATGTGGGGCTTTTGGTTTGATGAGATTTATATGAGTTTCTTTTTTGGACTTGATGCTGTAATGGGATGAGACTTTTAGGAGCCTTGTGAAAAAGTGAATGTGCTTTGCATATGGGGCAGATGTGAAAATTTTTTTTTTAAAGATTTTTTTTTATTGGGGAATTGGGGGGATGGGAACAGTGCTGGGGAATTGGGGGAAGGGGAACAGACAAGTTGCTGTTGCTTTGTTCTTCAGTCTAGCTGTGGAGGACTTTGCTTCACTGGCCCAAGTTGGCACCATCATTGCGCTCTTCCCGGGTGAGGCAGATCAGTCGCCGGCTTTCTGGACGGGCCACTCACTGCGGCTGCTGGCCGCTCATGCTGGCTGCTGGCTGCTGGCTACACACGGTAGCCCATGGCAACCCACTGCCACAGGGCCTGCAGCCTACGCCGTTGCCGATGACTCACAGCAGCCCAGCTCCAGGTTGAGCTGTTGTTCAGCATCTTAGCTGTGGAGGGCAGTGTCACTGGCCCTCATATGTGGGAACCGAACTGGGGCCCTCTGGCATCCCAAGCCAGTTCTTAACCATCGCGCCACTCGGCCGGCCCAGATGTGAATTTTTGAGGGCTCTGGTAAGGACAATAATGGCCCCCAAAGAGTCCATACCCAATCTCTATGAATATGTTAACTTACATGGCAAAAGAGACTTCGCAGATGTAACTAAGGTTACTAATCAGTTGACCTTAAGATAGGGAGAATATGCTGAATTATTCAGGTGGGTCCAATGTAATCACAGGCGCTTAAAAGCAGAGAAGCTTCTCTAGCTAGTAACAGAAGCCAAAGACAGAATGAGAAGTGGGAGAACTTTAAAGCAGGAGAACCTGATGTGCTATTGCCAACTTTGAAGATGGAGGGGCTCCCAGCCAAGGAATGTAGACAGCTTCTGGAAGCTGAGAACAACCTTTGGCTGACAGCTTGCAGAGAAATGGGAACATCAGTCGTACAGCCAAATGGACCTGAATTTAGTAATAACCTGGATTAGTCTGGAAGTGGATGCCACACCAGATGAGAACCCAGATGGCCAAGACCTTGACCTCATCCTCATGAGACCCTAAGTAGAGAACCTGAGTCAGCTGAGTCAGCCTGGACTTCTGAACTTTCAGAACTCTGAGATAATAAATGGGTGCTGTTTTTAAGATGCTAAGTTTGTGGTCATTTACTATGCCACAATGGCGACCTAATACAGTAAGATTTGAGCTGAGACTTGAATGAAGAGAAAGTGCATCATGGGCAAATCTAGGGTAATGGGTTCCATCTCCAAGGAACAGCAAGTACAAAGGAGGAAACGAGCAAGACTAGGAGGAAACAAACAAATAGAAGGTCAGCATGGCTGGCACCTGCTGAGTGGAAGCAGTAGATTAGAGATGAGGTCAGAGCTGGGGTAGAGAATGAAAGGGAAGCAGGATCCAGGGCAGGAGGTCTTGTTGAGAGTGGGCTGTGTGTCTATTATTGAGAATGAGTCTCCAAAATTCCTCAGTTGAATCCAGAATGACTGTCCCACCTCCACAGCCTGCTGGCTTGCCCTGCCTCTGCCTCACTCCTGGTCCTGGGAAATTCCCATGAGGGGCTCCAATTTACCCAGTCATTTGGCGGGGAAGGGGATGACAGCTATGGCTACAGCACAGACTAAGGGGTGATGCCAGCTATGACTCCGGCAGCACAAACCTATGACTTTGCATTCCCAAGATGCAGTCACTACCTGGGACAGTCCTGGTAGAGATCCAGGGAGGTCAAGGAAGTTGGAGCAGAAGAAAAGTGACAGTTAGGGCAGCTAGTTAGCTCAGGTTGTTAGAGCACAGGGCTCATAACACCAAGGTTGCTGGTTCGATCCCCACATGGGACACAGAGCTGAGCCCTCCACAACTAGATTAAAACAAGTACTTGACTTGGAGCTTATGGGTCCTGGAAAAACATACTGTTCCCCAATATAAGTTAAAAAAAAATTTTTTTTTGAAAAAAAGAAAAGTGAGGGCCAGAAGTCAGACAATCTGGGCATTATTCAGATAACAAAACTGGACTAAGACATCACAAGAAAAACTATAGCTCAATATTTCATATGAATATAGATGTAAAAATCCTCAACAAAATTTTGTTCTTAGCAAACCAAATCCTGCAATCATAAAAATGATTATACAGCATCACCAAGTGGGATTTCTCTAAGGAATGCAAGGTTGGTTTAACACCCAAAATCAATGAATATAATACAGAATATAGGACAAAAAACCCACATGATTATTTCAATAGACACAAAAAAATACATTTGACAAAATCCAACACCCTTTCATAATAATAACTTTTTTTTTTTTTAAGATTTTTTATTGGGGAATTGGGGGAAGGGGGACAGACAAGTTGCTATCCCTCTGTTCCTCAGTCTAGCTGTGGAGGACATCGCTTCACTGGCCCAAGTTGGCACCATCATTGCGCTCCTCCCAGGCGAGGCAGATCAGTCGCCGGCCTCTGGACAGCCGCTCACTGTGGCTGCTGGCCGCTCACGCTGGCTGCTGGCTACACGCAGTAGCCCATGGCAACCCATCTGCTGTCGATGGTGACTCAGGGCAGCCCAGCTCCAGGTTGAGCTGTTGCTCAGCATCCTAGCTGTAGAGGGCAGTGTCACTGGACCTCACATGTGGGATCCGAACGGGGCCGTCTGGCATCCCAAGCCAGCCCTTAACCAACACGCCACTCGGCTGGCCCATAGTAACTTTTTAAAAGCTTAAGAAACCAGAAACAAAAGGGAACATCCTTAACTTGCTAATTGTCAAAGGGCATCTATGAAAAATTCATAGCTCACATCATATTTTAATGATGAAAGACTGGATGTTTTTGCCCCTGAAATCAGCTGTCTGCTCCCACCACTTCTAGGTAACATTGCACTGAAAGGTCTAGCCTGGGCAATTAGGCAAGAAAAGAAATAAAAGGCATCCAAACTAGAAAAAAAAAATCTCTATGTACAGATGACATAATCTTGTATATAGAAAATCCACACACCAAAACTATTAGAGCTAATAAACTGTTGAACAAGGTTGCAGAATACAAAAATAATGTACAAAAATCTTTGTATTTCTATCACCAGGAATAAACAATCCAAAAATGATACAAAGAAAACAATTCCATTTATAATAGCAACAAAAGGTTTAAAATAATTAGATATAAATCTAACAAAAGAACTGTAACATTTCTGCACTGAAAACTATAAAACACTGTTGAAAGAAGTTAAAATTTTAAATTTTAAAAACATCCCATGTTATGGGTCAGAAGATTTAATATTGTTAAGATGACAATACTCCTCAAACTGATGTAGAGATTCAATGCAATCGCTATCAAAATCCCAGCTAGTTTTCTTTTCTTTTCCTTTTTGCCAATATTGACAAGCTGATCCTAAAATTCATATAGAAATGCAAGGGATCTAGAAAAACAAAAATAATCTTGAAATACAGGAACAAGTTGGAGGACTCACAGATTCTGATTTTAAAACTTACTACAAAGTTCAGTGAAGCAGTGAGGTACTGGCATAAAGAAAGATACACAGGTATAGCCAGGGAATAAAATTGAGAGTCCAGAAATAAACCCTCATATTTACAGCTAGTTTACTTCCAACAAGGGTGTCAAAATAATGCAATGGAGAAAGAATAATCTTTTGAACTGGAAGTTTTGTGCTGGGAGTTGCATATCCACATGTAAAAGAAAGAAACTGGGCCCTGTACTTCAAACCATATACAAAAATTAAATCAAAATGGATCAAAGATGTAAATCTAAGAGCTTTTAGCTATAAAAAAATTTATAGTTTATTTTAAAAGTTTATAATTTTTAAACTTGCAAGTTTATAACTAGGTTATAACCTTTATCAACATTTGTAAAACTCTTAGGTGAAAACATAGGCATAAATCTTCATGTCCTTGGATTAGGAAATGGTTTCTTAAATATGGCTGTCAAAACACAAGCAACAAAATAAAAAATAAAGTGGATCTCATCAAAATTAAAAACTTTTGTGCTTCAATGGACACAATCAAGAAAGTAAAAAGAGGGGCCGGCCGAGTGGCGCATTGGTTAAGAGCTGGCTTGGGATGCCAGAGGGCCCCGGTTCAGATCCCACGTATGAGGGCCAGTGACACTGCCTTCCACAGCTAAGATGCTGAACCACAGCTCAACTTGGAGCTGGGCTGCCATGAGTCGCCGGCGACGGCGTAGGCTGCAGCCCCTGTGGCAGTGGGTTGCCATGGGCTACCGTGTGTAGCCAGCAGCCAGCGTGAGCAGCCAGCAGCCACAGTGAGCGGCCGTCCAGAAGCCGGCGACTGATGTGTCTCGCCTAGGAAGAGCACAATGATGGTGCCAACTTGGGCCAGTGAAGCAACGTCCTCCACAACTAGACTGAAGAACAAAAAGGACAGCAACTTGTCTGTTCCCCTTCCCTGATTCCCCAACGCTGTTCTCCTCCCCCAATTCCCCAATAAAATCTTAAAAAACAAAACAAAACTGCATAGCCTTTCAGAGTACAGATATAATTGTAAAATTATTTAACAGCCTATTCTTCTCCCACTGATATGAATAATTATATTTATTACAAACTAAATTCCCAGAAATAATCAGAATCAGGGCTGTTTCTGAATCTTCTCCCCCACTCCATGGATTAATTTACTCTTGTGCCAATAATATCCTGTTTTTACTCCAGTGCTTTGGTGTTTGATTATCTAGTATGTAAATACATCGCCCCCATTGTTTTTAAAAAATCTATTGCATAGGAACTTTGGATTTTCAAGTCTGTTAAAAAATCCTTTTTGGATGGCAATAAATTTAAGGATTAAGCTGGGGAGAATCAACATCTTTTAATAATGTCTTTCAATTCAGATACATGGTGTATGTCTCCATTTAGTTAGGTCTTACATCCTTCAGGAAAGAGAGATGATTTTCTTCATATAGGTTTTGCATGTGCCTTATGAGGTTTATTATTTCATAGTTTATGGGTTTTGTTAACGTGAATGGGACCCTCCCCCCCCCCCAAGTATGTTTTCTAATTTGTTATTGCACTACATAGGAAATACACTAATTTGGGGCCTCAGTTTAGTCTCTGTAAAAGTAGAACTACTCAGTAAAAGGTTCCTGTGGTCAAAATATGTATGGGATAAACAAAGCTAAATGGATTTGTTCATTGCAGGACTTATCAGTGACTTTAATGTACTTTTGATCACCAAGAATCCCCACAGCACAAGGAATTTCCTGTACTTACTTGGCCACAGAACCCTTTGTCACAAGACATTCTGAAACATACTTTGAGAAACAAAGCAGCCCAAGACATTCCAGTCTCTATCAATCCAGGGGTCTCCATTGAACCTCATCGGATGTCCAAACTCCCTTACCTCCAACGGGAACACAGAAGACAACCCAGTGTCAAAGAGAATGCTTTAATGAGTGTCACTCAGAGAGAGACAGGACTTTCACCAGCAGGGGGCCAGCCTCCACTGTCCCCAGATCTTTGTTGGGAAGGTGAGCTGGCTGCCTGGGGAGCAGGATCTGGTCTAAATAGTATGCTGGGCAAAGGAAGATTCAGGGGGCACCCTATGAGGGCTGGGCTCCCCGGGAGTGCTCAGGAAGGGGCAGGGCCTCAGGCTGGCCCCTCTTCAGGCATTCCTAGCAAAGCCACCAGGGGCTCGAGGGGCGTGGGGGTCCCGCTGGGAACGGGGTGGGTGCGTTCATGCTTGCGCAGGTCGCTGGCACTCAGGAAGGCCTTGGGGCAGTGGGGGCATGTGTAGGGGCGCACCGCGCTGTGTGTGCGGCTGTGCTTGCGTAGCCCAGCCCGGTCTGAGAAGCTCTTGCCGCACTGGGTGCAGGGAAAGGGCCGGAGCTCTGGGTGCGAGCGCTCATGCCGGCGCAGCAACGTCAGTGTGGAGAACGTCTCCTTGCACTCCCGACACACGAACTGCGGCGGCTTCTCATCAACCTCATCACACCCCACCTCACCTGCACCCCCCAAGGGACCAGGAGCCTCCCCAACGCCACCATCTTGGCACTCCACATGCTCCACCGTCATGCCCACCACTTGCCACTGGGTGGCCATCACACCGCCTGATTCCGAGGGCAGCCCGAGCAGTCCTGCTGGAGGGTCCCCTAGCCCCGCACCTGCTGCTGGGGCCGCCGGGCCCTCGCCTGCCACACCGACAGGCAGCGCCAGTCCCACGACCAGCTCCTGTTGTGGGGGAGCCCCTGAGGCCTCGCTACTTCGATGGGTCCGCTCGTGCTTCCTCAGGCTGGACGACACCACAAAGGACTTTCCGCAGGCGTTGCAATGGAAGGGGCGCTCCCCTGAGTGCACCCGGCTGTGCTTGGTGAGACTGGCCCTCTCGGCAAAGGCTCGCCCACACTCCTCACAGCGGAAGGGCCGCTGGCCCGAGTGCACCAGCGCGTGCCGCTTGAGATCCCAGGACGCCACGAACGTCTTGTCACACTGCAGGCACTTAAACGGCCGGTCGCCGGTGTGCACGCGCCGGTGCATGGCCAAGTCCGCAGGCTGCCGGAAGTCCTTGCCACACTTCTCGCAACGGTAAGGCTTCACGCCCTCGTGCGCCCGCTGGTGGCGCCGGAAACTTGAGGGGTCCGAGAACATGCGGCCGCAGCGGGGGCACAGGAAGGGCTTCTCCCCAGAGTGAGTGCGCTCGTGGCTCTGGTAGGAGCTGAGTTGCGTGAAGCCCTTGCCGCAGGCCGGGCAACGATAGGGCTTCTGCGCTGCATGGATGCGCTGGTGGCAGGTGAGCGAGGATGAGCGGGAGAAGCTCTTCCCGCATTCTGAGCAGAGGAAGGGCCGCTCACCAGTGTGGGACCTGTGGGAGTGTGGGGAGCCCGGCATGAGGGGGGCAGCCCCATCATCTGACCCCTGTTGCCTGTTTGTACTGTCAGGGGCCCCTAACATCCTAGGGGCGCTGGCCTAATCCTCTACAAGCCACAGGGCTACAGCAGAGTCAGAAACTTCAGGCTGGGTATGTAGACTCCAGAAAAGATCCCGCTCTGCTCCCCAAAGACCTAGACATATCAGGCCCCACTCAGACCTCCTGGGCTCCACCGGAGACCCCCTGAGTGGCCCAACTTCAAGCCCTGCCCCCTT